CCGTAATAGACAAAAGCACAAGAAACAAGTAACGCACCATCTGAAGGTCATGACTACCAGTGGTACTCTCCACGAGGTAAGGTCGTGCACGGATGTCATAGATGATTGGCCTTTCAAACCATGGCAACATGAAATGTGTGCCTTCCGGGTAGACCTGAAAAAAAATAAACAAATCAAAGGAGTAAAAATCAAACACCATTCACAGACTCAAATCCAAAACAACTCCTGTTAGTTTGAGAGGAATACAAAACCTTTTCCTTGATACCGGTTAACCGGTTGAACATGACAGCACGATGTCCTCCATCGACATTGTAGAGGCTGTTAGTGATGGCATAGACACCAAGCCCGCCAATAACACTGACCTTAAGAAGGGCAGAGAGAGCAGGAGATCCAGGGATCTTGGGCACTTTGTTGAAACTCATTTCCTAAAGAGTTAAAAAAGAATGAACATCACACTGAGATTACTCAAAAGAAAAGTTCACTGCTAAAACCTCGTTTTACAAAGATCCAGAACAATTAACACAGCATCACAAATCACACATATAGATAAACTAAAGCACGAGCCTCCGATTGCAATCTCGTATAGAAGATGGTTCGAGAATAGAAAGCATCGGTAACAGATTTCAAAGCTAAAATCGATCGAGCTTTTTCAACCATAGATCGTTGGAAATATATATAAGAAAACTTGAAACGAGAACAGATCTACGAGATTTGCTACACATGAACATTCTACCTCTAAATCGCACAAGGATTGTATCAAAATGAACAACGATTAAGGCACTGGGTGGATTTTCTAGGCACCCAAAGAGAGCATACCAATAAATACAGAGGAAAATACGGAGAACTGAAAGAGAAATAAACCTTAGATCAGCTCTTAATCACCGGCGATGTCAGGGTTTAAGGAAGGATCACGATCGGAGCAGCCGACGAAGCTTTAGGGTTTTAGAATTGAGAAATCAGAAGAAATGTAGTATACACGATGTGATACACTACTTTCTGCAATATTTTGGGCTGGTTTTTCAAGCCCATTAATAAATTTTTGCTTATTTGGCCCATTTTGTCATGTAGTCTTTTTTTCGTCAGCAAGTGTTTAGAATTTATTTAACTGCTTGTAATTGTAACAGATGCACATGGTCTAAAGATTTATAAGAAAACAGTCGCTCACCATTTTTCTGACTACATTACAAATTTAATTGCAACTGGGTTACTATTTTATTTCAAAGA